CAATGAGCAAGCTGCAAGGCCATTTGCGCACTGGTACGGAGTACACTACGGATAGTGAGTGGGTGGCTGTTGTCTGGCTGAAGGAACGGGGTGCGAGGATAATAGGCACGTGAAGGCGAACAAGAGTGCTGCGAGTTGCGGAGCAGGGCGGTCAATGATTTGTGTGCAAGATCAGCGCCAGCCTCGAGTTTGCAAAGCCAAAGTGCGACCAGAGTGTGAGGTCTGCGAGGCGGTTCGACGGCGGATGGTGTGGGTTGTTTGCGTGTTTGCGTACGTGTTTGCTTGTTTCCGCTGATTCTTTACGGAGTATCGCATGGTGGTCCACGGCCTTGCTTCTCGTTGCTGTACTCTGTCAACCCGGGCGGCTCTCTGTGTTGATGAAGGTTTCTTTTCCCTTTTGGTCTGTGGCCACGTTCATGTTGTGCGACTGTGTCACGGAAATAATTGAGAGTATCCGCGTACGGGGTATCCGTAGTCAGTCGGTAAGTGACGGTAGGAGCGAAGCTTGATGAGTGGAGGGAATTAATCATCGGGGAAGAGCGTGGGGGGGGAGCCTGGCAGTTGCAAAGCAAGGAAGGATCCCTTGCACCCGTACGTTCCATGTCACTCACTTGTGGTCTAAGTATCTCTGCTGATGTGCTGCGCAGATATTCAGCGACATTTAAGAGAAGGAACTTGTCACAGCACGTCGGTACATTTCCCCCATGCCAACCATCAACTTGCAGCAGCTACCTACCTACCCACTCACAGAACTGTCGGTAACACTGTACTTCATACCTATGGAAGGTAGTAAAGTAGGTGGGTATCCTCGACTTTGTGCTCCTTCTCAGTTCTCACTCTGGTATTTTGTAGCACCTTCGACTTCCAGGACCCTCACTTGGCGGGTTCCCTCCGACTTGTTTCTACCTTACGAATACCCAGGAGTAACTCGACAGAAACATGCGCCAGATACAGCACGCCATGCACTCGACACTTTACCTGAACAGCGATGACGTGATTGCTCCTCCAACCCCGGACTCGAACCCCGCGATCAAAGATATTCCTATTCTCATCCATAAGCTGGATTCCATGGCAATATGCCTCTCCTCGTCAACAGCAACTTGCAGGTGACCAGGATGCACAGAGATAGATGCCTTTTGGTGTCCCCACATTGCTTTCTGTCAAACATCTGGCGAAAGGTGGCACGGGTGGGTGGCCCCGTCAACGACTCCACGTGATATGCACATGTACAGTGTACATCACCATCACCCTCATGGCTCCGCTTAGATAAGCCTTTCCAGCGTCCATACTCCTTCAGGCTTCGAGGCTTCGATTCGTCTCAATTGTCCTCTCAGTCCCGAGCCTCCGCTGCCTCACCTACTCCGTACCCAAAGCACATTAGCGACAAGCGACCAGCACCGCCTCTGCGCGTCCCCAAACTCAAAATTTCGCGCCTTTTTTCATCTCTGCTCCCACGATGCCCCCCGGACAACCTGCACTTGCGAAACGGATGCAGCCTTGGGTGATATCAGACGTCCTTCCCGGTTACCGATTCCCAACAAGAAACAGAAAAATTTCCGCCTACTACGTAGAAACTTTCTCTCTCACACCCGCGAACACTTCTTCTTCCACACCTACGGAGTAGGTACATGTGGCTCTCCTCTAGCTTCGGTCTGTTCTCCCAGACGGTAAGGTAGGTAGGTATTAGACTGCAAGACTGCAACGGTGCAACCACCCCCGGACACCCCTGCTCATCCCTCGTCAACCCTGTCAATCACTCTCTCTTTCGCTTTCAAGGTTCGGATCTATGCCGTTTTCCTACAAGGTTGGAAATCCAGACGTCCATCAGACAAACAGTCAGATCAGCACCTCGTTTCACGCCTGCTGCAGACAAATCACCCTTCATCCTTCATCAGCCAACTCAACTTCGAAACCTCATCACAGCACCACCCACAGCACCACCCATATTCGTAGTCACCACTCACAGTCACTACTCACCACCCTCGTGGGAAACATCGGCCTGCTGCAGGGGCTGGGGTGGTGCCGCAACACCCTGCAGCTCTTGTCCATTTCTGGCTCATCTTGATAACGACCCTCCAGCAAATCACCGTCTCCCGTGAATGGGCAAGCAAACACGCAACAGTACCGTCGTCCAGCTTCCAAATTCTGCAAACCAATCAACCCGATCTGTCCGGCCAGTGCTCATCTTTCCATACTTCGAGAATGTCGCTAGCCCAGCTTCCATCACCCTCCTAAACCAGCAAGGCTTGCAACCCACGTGTGGCAGGCTTGCAGGCTTGCTTTTCCCGTGATCACTGGTCAGCAAGCCTGGCAAGCCAACACGTCCGCTTTCGAACAGGACCAGGCCAGCCAGCCCTTGGTCTCGTTCCCGAACAAGCGGGAAAGAAACAAAAACCAATGTTCGATCCGGCAGACAAATAACGCAACCCTACCACAGAGTTCCTTTTCTGCCCGCGTTAATTTGTTTGTCGGCGCCGCCGTCGTCTTTTCTCTCCCAAGCATCTGCACTCCGCGAGTCCGTATAATCTGCCCGCGCTTCGTGTCTTACAGTGAACAATTACACATTCTTTTCCCACGGCAGTTCCAACCCATTCAGGTCTAGGGTACTCAGGCGGGGGGTCCACCATTGGACGGCATGGTGGGGCCATCCCGATAGCATCGTCCACGTCTCTCAGCCACGACACATGTGAATGACAAAAAGCTCGGGCTCCATCCCGCGACGACACACACTCAGAGGCAGAGACTCAACCGCGGCGGGGAGTTTAGACTAACGTATGGAGACGACGACTTCATTTACAGCAATCGTTTGCGCAGTACATGCAAAATGAGACCAAAGGTTACCGACTCATGAGCTGTTACGGTTCAACACCATCTACTGAAAAACTCGGAATCAGGTCCACCGTCCGCCGTCCGCCCCCATCGTCTACCCGCCCCCCAATGCGCGCAGCGGGCAGCCCCCAAGGCGCACCTCGCCCAGTTGCATCGCATTTCGTGTCACCAACTTGAGAGCGGCTGAACGCGCCCGTTCTTCAGCCGCATTGGTCTCACTCGGTCAGCATCTTGATATAGTTTGCGCCTGTTGGTGTCATCTGTTGAACCTCCAACATTGGCTAATGTGAAGCCTTTCTCCCGAGGATAGCACTCAGCTCCCTCGACGTGCGATGCCACTTTTTGTTGAAATTTCTTGGCTTTGGGATGACGATGTGGCACAAACCAGCGAAACCATTCGCACAGTTTCTGGCAGGCTTCATTCTTGCCACTCAGTCAGTATATGCAAGTTGCGGTCTTTTTTTCTCAACTTCCGACTGTTTCGAGCATCGAATCCACCCTTTCATGTTCGAATTTCATCTTTTTGCACAGCCCCCAACGCAATGCGACAATGAAACACTCACGAACCAAACACCATCTTACTCGTCGTCTTCTTTTTTTTCCCCCAGACGATCGTCCTTCGGCCAAACTCCGGCGGCAGCTCCGAGTCGCGTCGCGTTCGGCGCCGCCGCCGACTTTGTAGCTCAAGAACGCTTGGGGCATTCTTTTGACGGTGCATCCGCCGTACTGCCAGTTTCTATCTAGCACATACTTTTTTCGGCTACACTGGGCGAGACTTGTTGGCGTTGGCAACGTCCATCAAAGTCGGTGTTAGTGTCGGCAGAGGGGCCGGCTGGAGGCTTGGGAGATGATACAATTTCGATCCCCCCAGCCCGTCGAAGGTTGAGATCTCGGGATTGCCCGTCGTATGACTCTGCCAAGGGACGTCTTCGGATGCTCTTCAATTCGACGCACTCCCATCTACGCTCGACGGCATCCGATACTTTTGAGGGTTCTTGAGACTTATCACAGTGGAACCAAACAGACGTGTCATTGCTTACACTGACGACGTCGGACTTGATCCCGCTCCTCTTTCGAACTGTAGATACGGCAAAGAAAGTTTCCTCTCATCTGGGCGGCATACTTTCATGCTTCACCCTTGATACAGCTCCACGGTAACATCGCCTTTTTCCCCCTCTACTAAGCCCTCAAACCTCGGAAAACCACATTGGTGCCGGTCAGTCGGCGAAACGCAGTGGATAGCTTCGTCTCCGATACGATTGAGGATACGTCCGTTGCCACCGCCTTCATCAAGGCCCCATGTTCTCAAACAGACAGCTTGTCCTTTTTCTTTTTGTTAGAGAACGTTGTCCCGGACCATGATTATGGCAGTACCGTTTCTATCTATGGGGGTACGGTGTCGAGCGCCGTTGCCGGCATGTAGCGCAGTAGAGCATGCTTTCGCGATAGATGTGAGATATGTCAGGGACACACTGCCTACGGACAGTGTGATGGATAGAAAGTAACGATCGTGGCCGATCAGTGCCTCCCGTACGCAAGGTGACACCAGCACCACCGGCAAAGCTGCTTTCACATCGAAATGTGTTCAAGGGAAGGAAAGCTGCTTTACCCTTTAACTGCGCAGTCGTAGTTATGTCGTTTCTCTGCTGTACTGGAGCAACATTCGCAAAGGTTGCTGAGGCATCTTACCTCTCTGTCCCTCACTCAATGTCGTGGTTATGTGCCTGCTTTGGGCTCTCGTGACCGAGCACTTCCTTCCCTATCCAATGCTACAAACCACATCAAATGTTCATATTCGGCTGGATGGATACGTGCGAGCGTAGAGGATTCACCATTCTTGGGAAAAGAGAGAGCTGTGCATCTGACTGGATTGAGTACTCCTCATCTCCGTGAGCTGCTTTATCTGGGTAGCTTGATGGGACGGGTCAACAGTCTCACGAAAGGGAGTAAAGTAGCCCTCCTGCTTTTCATTGCATCCTCTTTTCAACTATCCTTCAGCGAATGAGCCTCCTCAAAAACAAGTATCAAATCAACCATGTTCTGTCCCCGTCCTTTACAAGTACTCTGGGCGTCAAAGATCCGGTTGAATGGGAGAGCTCTGTCTATATCACACGTCAGCTTCGATCCCACGGAGTGCTTGGAAAGCAATACACCACTCACCAGATAAAGTATCAATCAACCTCATCAACATTGAGCGAAGAGACGAGACTCTCAACCTGAGCAAGTTCCTCCTTCTCAGCTTTAGCCTCAGCCTCAGCCTCAGCCTCAGCCTCAGCCTTAGCTTTGGCCTTGCCCTTCTCGCCATCACCACCCGCACCCTTACCCGTGGCACCTTGCTTTCCCACCCACTTCATTCTCTCCGCCTCATAATACGCATTCGCAGCATAGTCCTTGGCCTCACCAATGGTGGTCGCCACATGAACCACGCCGGTACACATGCCATCTGCAGTCAACTCAATAATCTTGATCTCCAGCGGCGGCTTCTCGTCAATAGTGGCCCTGTCGCTAGGATTGAAGATGATGGCCTCGTTGGCCATGTGCGGCCTGGTGATGAGGTAGGCAATGTGGTCCCCCTTCTCGAAGAGCGCCGCAACATCCGCCTCCATGAGGCGTATCTGCACCCCTGCCTCACGGGTGGCATTGACGCCGCCGGCGATCCTCTCTCCGGGCGTGGCGCCGTTGAGGATCGCCTCGAGGACGGCATCTTCCTTTCTGGTCTCTGCGGTGGGGTTGCTAGGGATCTCGTCAAAGATGTTGCGGTGCTCAAGGTACCACTTCACCGCCTTGGCTGCGGCGGCGGTGCGCTTCTTGCGGATAGGGAAGAGCTTCTCGATGCGGGCGGTGACGGTTCCCTTGCCCTCGGCGATCCAGCCCTGGATGGCGGCGGTAGGGGCGCCGAGGTTGAGGACGAGGTAGCGGTACAGGTTGAGGAGGGCGAGCCTGTCCGCCACGGTAATGACGCAGTCGAAGCGGAAGGCTTCGAGGGTGTCCGGGTTGGTGGGAAGGGTGCCGGCTAGGATATGGGCTTCGAGGATTTCGGCTGGGGTTGTGCCAGCAGCGTTGTTGGCGTCGGCCTGTCGTTGGGCGTTGGCGGCTGCTACCATGGCGGCAGCGGCGTAAGCCTGCTTATCGGAGCTGGAGGCGTCCGTCATGGCGGCGTGGTGATCCGGTGCATGAAGAAACAGTGGTCTATCTTGGACTTGTTTGCGGTTTCCCACTCGGAGGTACGTTCTTGGCCTGGGACGTGTTACTAGTCAGTTATGAGATTGTAGCCCGAGAAATGTAGAAGGAAGCATAGGAATACCGTATCAGTTCTTACGATGTTGGAAGTCATCGCCGACTTTGGAAGCAAATGTGGATGAAGAGAGGTTGGCTTTGAGGCAGGAGGGAAGGAGACAAGGTGAGAAAGAGGGAAGGAGGATGTCTTTCTGAAGGAGAGGAGGGAGAGCATGATGCCCTAAGGAGAAAGGAATCCGGCGCGGAAGGTATGGTCCATGTGCGGCGAGGGAAACTTTTCTCTAGACAAAAGGAGAAGGTTCTTGCAGGCTGGATGAATCAAAGTGAAGTTTACAAACGCTGGCTGTTGTTGGTGTGAGGGGTCAGTCAAGTTGGAATCTGCCGTTTTCCGTTTGCTTCACCGCATTTCGGCCGCGACCTTACGTGGCAGATTGAAACGTAGGCAGGCTGAGCAGCATGTCGAAGACAAACACATCAAAGTGGTTTGCTAGTTGCGTTTATTCTGTTGAAGAAGGTTTCTGAGAATTGAAGTAGGCAGATCAAGTTTCGAGAAAGCTGTGTCAGTGCCGAAAGGTACAAGCTTGACCTGTTAGTAGAGATGAAAGAGGATAGAACAGGAGTGAAGAAGGAAGTCCTATGTGATTCTCACACCCTGCTCATGGTGCCTGCGTAGATTTCTTATGTTCCATGCCGGAAAAAGTAAACGAGAAATGAATATGACGGGCTAGCTAGCTGCAGGCTTGGAAGTTGACTCTGGACGGAAGTCACAATCAACATGCAACACTTTGCTCCTTCAATATCTTGAACCAAGTTCCCCAAGACCAGGATCCTTTTTAGACCAACGAGACTTTTCGATCTCAACCCTGACTACCCTGGACGAATACCGTCAGAAACGTTCTGGTCCCCAGTCCCAGCCCCAAAAACGATGTATTCTTACGACCAAGAAACCTCTCATCACCAACTCTCGCCCTCCCCGTAACTCAGTCTCTGGTAACCTATATCCACCTCTTGTAGACACACCAAGCCCCCAGAAAATGCGGCACGAACCTCACATTCTAGTTCTCAAACCCAGCATACAAAACCTTCTCCATCATCCCGGCCGCCGCCCCAGCCTCGACCTTCGCCTCAATCCCACAATCCCCAAACTCCTTGGCCTCCTCAAAAGCCTGCTGCCAAAACTCCCATCTCCTGAATGAGAACCCCGCGCGGCCCTTGAACCGCGGTCCGCACTTCCATCTCTCATCGCTACTGCTACTCTTCCTCGCCTTCTTTCCATTGGGTTCGCCCGTTCCCTCACTCGTCGCCTGTTGTTGACCTTCCGACGGCGACGTCGCCTCAGACGTCACGGAGAGATGATACAGTCTCTGACACGAGTGAACAGCCCACTGCGCAGCAGCCATAAGCCGCGCGTCGGCACCGTCGCGGTCGCTTGCGTCTGACGAGCGGCGGTCCTCGAAGGCGGTGCGGAGCTGCTGGATGGCGTGGTCTCGGCCGTCGATGAGGTTGTAGGACCAGAGGAGGGAGGCGAAGGCGTTGAGGTTCACCCAGCGGGTGAGGGTTTCTATCCTGTTTGTGGATTGGTACGGTGCTTTTGGGAGTTTTGCTTCATGTGAGTAACCGTGATCCTTGAGAGATGTCTTCAGGTTTGAGATTTGATGGCAAGTGTAAGACTTACAGGTCATGGAGTCTCTGATGACTTGGTCAAGACCGTGAAGACGACTTAATTGCTCGAAGCCATTCTACGAAATGAATTAGAACCAGTAGTGTATAATCAAATTCAACGTTGGAACTCACCACCATTACCGTAGCCGTTGTTCTAGGCGATAGAGCTAAATGGTCGAGGATCACCACCAGATCCAGCATCGCAATGTTCCCCGAAGGCGTCTGCTGCGCCAACCCCACAAACAACTTCCACACTGACTTGAGGACATCGTCAGAAGGCCGATGTGCCGGCAGTAGGCCCGTAATCTCAACCGCGACTTTGTGTAGCCTCTGCGGGTCGTTGGTCTCCGACATAATGGCCCCGCGAACGGTTTCAAAAGCCGCATCGTCGTCGAACGATGAGGCGTCTGGCGTGTGCCTCCATCTTCCGACTGCCATGTTTCCTCCAGTCAAGTCGGCCAAGAAGTCCTCATGATTGTGAGCGTGCACAGCGGCTGGGTCGAAGCGAAAGCTCATGATGAGTTGCTGTGGTGGTTCTGGTTCGGGCTCGGGGAGACGCGGAATCAAGATCGTGGAAACTTCGGGAAGAATTCCGGTAAACACCTAGAGTAGTTCAGTTGGACGTCCTTTTGCAGGTTCTGTGACATTTGCTGCTCCGAGTCAGGGATTTGTGCCCCAAGCTTCTCTCAAGAAATGATGGGGTCTTGATTTCCAAGGATGGGAATTTGGGAAGAGGAAGCATTGACTTTAAGATAGCTAGCTTTTTGGTTGCATGGACATTGACATGGAAGAGTGAGTTTGATGGTAGCTGTATCCTCGGTCTCATCACCACATGAAGCCGGATCTACTAGCTAGTGCGCCGGTGGGTTATGTGGGGAGGCGGCTTGCACCGGCAAACCGGCTTTTGGGATGGATCCGCGATTGAAAGGCCCTCACGTACCAAAGAAGCTCTCCGTTTGTCGGGATCAGAAAGCCGCTAGATGTGATGGCAGCTTTTGTCAGGCACTAACTCAATTAGAATTACTACCATCGGCATAGAGTCTCCATAGTTGGTATTGGATGCAACAGAGTAGTGAGGGCTGGTTGAGCCTGATGCCGGGGCTTTGAGGGTGGCCTGAATGTATGTTGCCGGCAAAAGGCTTTGATAGTTCCAATCAAGGATAGACATGAAGGTCTCTTGGGATGCGTTCTAGTTGTGACAATGAGATGCCTTTCTTCATGGACCACAAGCTATTTCTCTGCCCCTACGAACATCAAGCGATGGTTAACGAGGTTCAGAAGGTCAACTTTGACTTCACCCTAGTGCAACATATACTTTGAGGGTCTTCCGTGACAACCAAAATCTACTGATGGGCAAAGCAACAGGGTAGCAGGAGAAAAGGATCTGGGCAGCAATTCCAAGTTGATGTCATTGACACCAGAGTGAAAGATGTTGTAATCGACGACCTGGCCTTTCTTATAGTGGTTGTGGGCGGCCTGATCTAGCTGGAACCACGCCCAGTCTTCGTGATTGATCCAATTGAATGACGCCCATCTAGCAATCATGTTGAATACCACGAATGGATGAGATAATTTGACTTGGTAGAAACAACAGTGGCGCTTCGGTGCCAAATACCAGCCAAACTGGAAAGCCATCAAGTGCCCCGAGGGCCATCCACAGCAAGGCAAGAAGTGGTAGTATGGTCTTTCTCCGAAACGAAGGACCTATTGAGTATCTCTCAAGACGGTTCCTGCTTCAATCCGTCAAGCCTGTAAACTCGACAAGAACAGAGCCGACTGTTAGCCAGCTCCATCATCACCTTTCTCTTTCTCGTCATCATCCTTACAAACCATCAGCATCATCTTCGCAATCATCATCGTCACCGTCGCTAGCATCGGCGACAACACCGACATCCCCTAAAAAACATCTAATAAACCTCATCATGTCCTCTTTAGGCCTTCCAGGCCCATTCAACAGACCTCCGGGAGACGCCAACCTCAATCGGAACTGGAACGCCTTTCTCGACAAGCACAACCTCCGAAGCATCTGGCAGACAACCCGTGCCGATATCAACGACCTCTGCAACACCGCGCTCTTGGCCTTGCAAGTCTCACGGGGCCAGCAGATCGCTATCGAGGACTCCATCCTCGATCTCTGGGATCGTATAGGCCTTACGGTGGACTACCTCAACCCAGATGCGAACCCATTATGGAGGGCTGATGAGCAGCTCGTCAAGCCCACGGCACTGCGGCTTCAGGAGCAGCGACGACGCCTCCAGGTACAGATGGACATGTGCCAGAACGAGGTCCACTGGGACCAGGTGTGGCTCGAGCTAGACATGAGCAGCAATCCACCGACTGCACTGTCTAGAGGGGGAAGTTCCTCGTCGGTCGTCTCTGACGAGGATAAGACGCCCGACGAGGATACGGGTCTGAATATGCAGGAGACGGGGGAGGCGGATGGACAAGAGAGTAATATACTCAGGGTCGCCAAGTCGCTGAGCTACACGAGGTACTTCCTCGGCCACGCAGCGGGAGACCCAATCTTCTCCTACGATGGGCGGGACTTCGCCTACCGTGGCCGGGTCCCTCGCGACCCCAAGGAAGACGTACTGCGCTTGCAGATCCTCCTCCCAAAGGTTCTCGCACAGCTCGTCACCCTTATCGCGTTCTCCCCCTCGTCGCCGTCGCCTCTTGACTTTCCGGAAGGGTGCACCGAGATGCTCAACTGCGTTGACACCCCATCCGACGAGCTCATCTTGAGGGTTTGCTTCTCTTGGATCTTGAAATTCGGTGAAGGCCTCCCAGCGACATACGCGTACTTCCTCGGCACCAGTCCAGTCGTACAGGAGTTTGCCTGGCTCGCCTGGGACATCTGCATCGACGCCAACGAGCTCTGGTCCAGAGATACAACCCGTGACCGCATGAGCCTGATGAGAAGCCTTGGGCCCATCATGGAACTCTTGTCTTTCGATAAGACTCCGGTATTGGTGTCACCAGGTGTGGTGTTAAGTAACATTGCGGAATTACACGAAGCGGAGGAGGAAAGGGAGGCCAAAGAGCTCGTCTTTGAGCAGAAGGAGTACGACGTTGCGTTGGTGTATGATGCATCAATTTGCGAGGTAAGCCAAAAAATTTTTCGAATCGCCAGGCCCCTTCCTTCCTTGCCCTCTTGTCGTGAAGGATGGTTTGTATGGGAATTGGGAATGGTGTAGTTGATCATGGATGGCTTCCCATCGTACGGATACGTACCCAAACAGGGTCCGCTAGAATGTCACGCCATGCAGGGGACTCAACTCCCCCATCCCATCCACCTGACTCCCATCTCTGCAGGCACAAGCCAACTTGCAGAGCCCGGATAAACCATCCTCCATCTCCCATTCCCCATTCCCAAAATTTCCCACCAAGCTTCGTCGATTGACCTTCATCTTACTAACGACGCTCCCCTCGGCAGTCAATCAACGGCCTCTATTCAACTTATACGGGAAGACACCACCCCGACGTCGGCGCCCTCTTCCTTCGCATAGCACCGCCTCAATTCCTCCTCGACAACGACGACGACGTGTTCGCCAACATTCCGATCCCCGACGAGGTCATTGCCGCGCACCACCGAATCAAATTACGGCTCCTCGACGATCCAGAACCCGAAGCCGAACGCAGTGCTGTAGTTGACCACCCGGTTGTATCTGCAGACGATATCCAACCCGAGATAGTCGTTTCAGGATCCACGCGCAGGAGGCAGCGTCAACAGCAGCGCATAGAAAGGAACGAGACTCCCGCCGAACCTCCGCTTAAGAGACGACGAGGTCGTCCCCCAAAACACCGCCCGACACCTCCCACTTCCGATCCTGTCGCCGATTGATACCCCAGCCTCGACTCAAGCTGTTATTCAAGCTAAATCATTCCCAAAAACACAACCATGGCCTCCTTCGCACCCCTCCGCAGCGGCCTCCGCCAAACCCTCACCATGTCAACACCCGCCGCCACGATGGCCACCACGACAACCCGCTCCCTCTCAACCACAGCCCCCCTCGCAGCCCGCAAAGCCAAGACGGACAGCATTATCAACCCAGAATACATCGCTCGCATAGCAAACATCCGTCAGCACCTCTTCGCCGAGGCGCCCCCGGCGCTGCGCATGGCCCGTAACCGTCACCTCCGCCATTGGACCATCCACCGCGCCTGGCTTCTTCTCCAGCGCCAGCAACGCGAGGCCCGCGAGAGAGAGCTCCTCCGCATCCAGCAGAGTATGTACACCGCCAACGAGCAGCTCCGCACCAGTGCTGGGCCGGGAACCAGGGAGGAAGGGTGGCTCTACCGCGTCGCTCAGGAGAAGAAGGGCATCTACGGGCCCAGTGCAGTGCCTATTGAATACGCGCGCTACCAGAGTGAGACACCTGCCCGGCAGGCGTGGAACCACGAATGGAAGCGATAGACGTGTTAGTTCTGACGCAGGCAATACTGGGAAAGTATAAGGGGGTGGAAAAAGGAGTAGTGGATGAGAGGGAAAGGAGTGGACAAGTCGAGTCTGCTCATTGGCCGTACGACTATGTTGAGCTCGACATCTCGTGTCATTCCGCTGTAGCTGTAGCATACTGTCTGTTGTATGAAGTAGTGTATAAAATGGAGAAAAACAACACATGTCACTAATCAATGTTTGGAAAGCCTCTTTTTAAACTTTTAATCAGTTTTATTGCGTGAAGTGACTGCCATTTCCCGTTGACAGGGAGCAGAACGGGGATACTCCAAAGCTCCAAACACCAGCTTTCTAGTTGTTGAACTTTTGGCTCGTTCTATAGTGTGCTGTCCTATTAATACAGACAGTGGAAAAGAAAGGGTTAGTCCCTGGATTTCCATAAATACGTTTCCGCTGAGTGTTTGCGCTGTTCCTGCTGTTTGTAACGCCGCTGAGGGGAAGAAAAAGAGAGGATTAAAGTTGATTCGCATGCTTTTTGCGATTGTTGTAATGGTGTGACCAGGCGAGCTTGCTGAGAGTACCGACAAAGTGACGTCCACCCTGACCTGTTGTGTGCCTTTTGGGTAGCCAGCCGCCCAATTGTGTGTGTGTGTGGGAGCTGGCTCGTCCTGTACTTCTTGGATCGAACCGGCGTGGTTTTTGCAGTGGCTTGCATTCTCATGGTTATGTGATCCAGCCTGATCACTTCCGCAAATTTCGCCCAGGTCTCCTCAGTTCGCTGTGTCGTGCCTGCACTCATTGTCGGTCGAAAGGCAGAATAGAGAATGACGGGGGTAGCTTCCTTCACAGAATAACGCAGCAGCCGCCTCCCTCGCCCTTCTCAAAGGTCAACAAGGCAGCACGAGTAGCGGCCTCAAAGACATCGTCGACACCCTCGCCGCTCAGACTGGAGCATTCAAGGTATTTCCGTGCGCCAATCTCCTTGGCAGCAGCATCGCCCTCTTGATGTGTGACGAAGCGCATCGACTTCTTTCGCATTTCCTCAATTGCCACGGGATCTTCGCGGAGATCCTTCTTCAAGCCAACAAGAATGATGGGGACGCCTTCGCAGAGTCGCGTAACCTCCTCCACCCACTGTAGCCCAATTGTCAGCTGCCGGACCGTAGTTTCGTATCAAGGGACGAGGCTCGTTTCAAAACCCACCTTGTGCTTTACGTTGTCGAGGGAATCAGGCGTATCGATGGAGAAGCCGACGAGGATGACATGAGCCTTGGAGTAGGCCAGGGGACGTAGCCGTTCGTAGTCCTCCTGTCCGGCGGTATCCCATAGCGCAAGCTGCACCGACTTTCCATCTACTCTGCAGTCTGTCACGTAGTTCTCGAAGACGGTAGGAATCTAGGGGTCAAGTCTCGTTAGATTTCGTTCGTCGGGGTGGAGGAGTCGCTGGTGGTACTCACGTAGTGCTGCAGACACCAATTGTTAGCAAAAATCCTCAGACACAAGATCAGACCACAGGGGGGGGGGGGGGGGGATTATTGAAGTGAACATACGGTAGGGAAATATCCAAGTGTGAAGACGCTAAGCAAACTAGTCTTTCCGCAAGCACCGTCCCCTACAATGACGAGTTTCCTGGAGGCAGCATGTCAGCAGGCAAAGAACAGATGGACGGGGGACGGAGATCAGGCTGCCCAGCTAAGCAGAGGCAGGCAGAGATGTTGCGAGCTTTGCGCGTGGCGAGCCGAGGGTGAACCGAGCAGCAAAGACCGATGCGTGCCCATATCGACGGGAATCGAACAAGCGACGTACCTCCGAATAACGTTGGTGGGATTTGCTGCTGCCATCGCTGCGGTTGTGGTTGTGAATCGGGCGGGGGGGTCGTAGGGGAAAGGATGGGCGACCCAAGGTCAATTGATGGGTGGATCGGGGTTCGTCCGAATCTATTTGCAACGTTGGGTACTGCGGCGTCGGGAAGGTCGAGAAGAGGCCCAAGAAAATATCGCGGGCGCTGCGATCGAGGTGTTCGACGAGGTTGTCGATAGTGGCGATCGGGGTTCGTCTTTTGGGATATCCGTACGTCGCAGGGTCGTATCGGGGGAGCGGTAGCAGCGTCGGGGGCGGAGAAGCGACGGATGTGATGTGCCAGTAAACAATGTTTATGTTTGAGGAGGTGGGTGCATGGGATCAAATCCGTCGTCTCCTTTTCGGCGTGGGTGGAGATGAATTGAAAAAGGAAATGCGGAGTGAGTAATGGGCGGATATGTCGGGAGGAAGTGGAAAAGAAGATGAAGAAGAAGAAGGGGAGAGAAGGAAGAAGCTGTGGTGGTCGTGGATTTGTGGTGGACGGCGACAGTGAGCTTAAAGCTGCTGGTGCAATTGGATTGCAAATGAAGTGAGGTGGAGGAGAAGATGCAGCTGGAAAGAAACGGACCAGAGGGTCAGTGCAGGCCGATGGGAAGGAAGGTCCTGTGCAAGAAAAGAGGCGATGTGCGGCAGAGGGGGCGCCCTTGTATTTCTCTCTGTCTCTTCGTTCCTTTACTTATTTGTCTTTCGTTCCGGGGAAGCAGCCAAGAGGGACGGAAGACCTGAACTGACGGCTGACGGGAGGGCGGAAGCAGATTGGATCAAGGTGAACAGGAACTTGGTTGAGGCCGGGCGTTGCAGCTGGCTGGGAATACGAGCTGAAGAAATTCCACGGGGGTAATCGCGCGTTGAAGAAATGGCAAGGGAAACTGGACTCAAGTATATAGGTATGTATGCCCACCCGTAGTACTGCGTAAAGCTACTAATAGGAATACCTACACAGTATGTATGTAGGACTAGGAAGAACTGCTGGAGCCGGAGCTAAATAATAGACATCCAGACGGGCCAAGGGGGATAGGAACTCGAGAAGAAAATGTGGCCCGGGGTACGGAGGACGGAGCACGCAGACGGGCGAGCGCGAGGTGAAGGCGGTATCCCACCGTTCCAATCGAATTGACTGCTTTGCCAAGCTTGTTTAGTTTCTTGCTGCTTTCTGGATCTTGGCGAGTTGATCCTTTTCCAGGAGTGTTCTCCAAGATGGGGCGTAATGGACAGAAAGATGCCTCGAGTAGAACGAGTAAGAAAATAACACAAGAATGTTAAGGGACTTTTGTAAGAGACGAGGAGAGCAACAGCCCAGTAAAGTACCTTGGCCAAGTACAGCAACCAGAATCATCTGTACTTTTTTTTTTTCTTCCTTCCAAATGTTTGCTAATTACCATACGTATCCGTACCTTGCAGCCCGCAAGAAACACAAGCCCGGGACAAAGTCCACCACGGAAGCTACCCTGAGAATGGGTGCTTTCAGTCAGGGCAGTGCGGGTTACCTCAACTCAATCCCCTCTCTGGGAGTTCTGATCTCTCTGTCCATGACGGTTGACCTAACAAAAGTGCGGTGCGCCAAGTGGTGCGTGTTGTGGCACAGCAAATGCCTTGGTACCTTTTGGTCCACAGGGAACAAGCTACAAAGGGACGATGACACGGATGGCACCGTTTCTGGAGTCGAGGCCCGTCCGGCCTAGACCCTTCACCCAGCTCCCAACTGCCAGTCCGGTCCAGGCGAGTGCTAGCCCCCCCGTCTCTTCTCTGCAGAGTATCAGTACAGACTGCCGGCATCCCCATCAGAGGTAGTCCTGGACTGCTGGTTGCAAAACGCTCTTCTGTTGACGCGGCTAGGGAGGGGAAGGCAAGCAGGTCCAAACCTCCAGGCTCCGGGTGCTAGTTCAACAGTCAATGACTCTGTCTCGCACGAACCAGTCTGTGATCCCACGCCATCATGCGGAGTGATGACAGACAGGCGGAACTTTGTCTAGTCCAAGGTACTACGGATGCTACCTTACCCTGAGCTGTCCGTTGAACTGAATTTGGCCTCGATGAGCCCTGGATTGGGAAGGGGACCGGGTCCTGGGCCTGGAGGGCTATGCTGTATGGTACATCTATTCCAGAATCGCGGTTCAATGTTCTCTTCGACGTCTGCTCCGTCTGCCGTAACAGACGAGCAAAAACGAGACCGAGACCACGAACACTACAGGTCTCTTAGAAAGGCGGCCAGTATTCCGCTTGACGTATCTACCTCTCAAAGAATACTAAACCATTAAGTTGGCAGCGACGATCTCAAATACGGGCTCCGTCCCCAAAGACACCTTTTGGACGGACGTTTTACCGCTGACGGCTGAGCTAACGTACCCGACCTCCGTGGGCGGCGCCCAGTTTTCTAAAATAAGGTACTCCCGATCTGTTTCCCTCCTGCCCCCCCCCCCCCCCCCCCCCCCCGTCCTCCGCCCCTTGTCCTGGACAATCCCAAGTTCCTGGCGCAAAGACTGTAGCTTGAAATCTTGAACAGAGAAAGAGGAAAGAATGAAAACAAAACAACCCATTCGTCGCCAAGGTTTCTTCAGACGTCGATCGCCGACTTTGACGATTCTCAGCTCCCAGCGTTTCAGGTATCCCATTGTCCATTCAAGTTCCCCCATTTCCGGAACCCCCCAAATGTAAGGTAGGTATTGAGTTGAGAGTATCTGTCATCAAAGTCATCGTCAGCTACTTACATCATGTCTTACGCACCTCCACGTTTTAGAAGTCAAGAAAAGACGCGGGAGAGAGGTGGAAACCGGTGAAGCATCAACCGTTCAAACATCGGATGGCCGTAACGGCACCGATGGCACCGGCAGCCGTATGTCTCATCCTTTCCATTCCCCCCAATCCGCCCCAAATCGTGTTAAACCGCCACCGGGCACTTGTTCCCCGAATCATGGTTCCCATTCCATCCCATCCCGCGCTCCTCAACCGTCATCCGCCACCCCTGAACTTATTAAGGCACTTACCAACCTACAGCCCATCTGCATTTTGCTTAGGTAGTCCCTTGAGTCCCTCGAGTGCCGGTTGGGAGCAAAAGGCTTGTAGGAGAAAGCCACAATCACCTTCCTGGGCCGTCCTGGCCAGTAGTACAAGACGCCCGTGCCATATTTCTGCTTCTTGCTTTGCTGTGCGGCGGCCATCCCACACACCCACCACCTACTTGCTTAGCTGTGCCGCTCTGATGGTTGTGTCTCTGTGCAACTCACTGCCATAGGCTGTGTTGCCAAGCCGTGCCGCCTTATGGTACCCGAATTCTAGACAACCCGCCCAATATGCAAGTGCCCGGAATGCCACAACGAGAGCGTCGTAAAATACGGGGAAATGATGACTGCTTACCCGGCAGTGGTGAAGCTTAGCATAACACGTACGGCTGGCAAGCTAAGTTGTTCGAATAGGGCTTCGGCTTTGACAGTTGCTGGCGCGAGGTTATTGGCGTCAAGCTCATCCAAGCAAAGGCCAAGTACTAAGTATGGCTCTTGATCATCTGCCGAACATCTTTACACCGTTGACAGAGCTTCCCCGATGAGCTGGGTTCTTCATGGCCGGGTCGAACACAGCTTGCTGCGCAGTCACTGCTTGGCAATATTCAAGCAGCTGGAATACATCAAAGTACCGGTGTGAGCATGAACCCACCTCGGGGTCCAACAAGCTCATATCGTCACCGGGGTTTCTGGAGACTTGTTGACAGAATGGCGGAGAAACGCGCCCCTTTCCATCATCTCGCTCTCGTTTCGTCGCTTCTCAGCCAACATTGTATCCGTAAACATCCATACAAACAGCATTGTGGACCCAACTTTCCGCGGTGGATCGCCGCATGGCCCGCCTTACCATGGCCGATTGAGGCTATGTTGACATTCGAGCGTTCCTGGTGGTTCTCGTGGGCAGTCGTCACCGGCCAGCCAATAACATTACACAGCTGGCCATTTTGGGAGGAACTCTGTTCGGGTTCATTGACGAGCCCCCGAGGCTGCTAGTTGCACGGCGTTCGGGATACATCATACTTGGTCTCCCTGTTTTGCAGAAAACGTTCCTGGGTCACCCGTTCGCGTGAGGTCCAGGAGAGTGGTGTTCCATTGCATCGCTGCCCGCAAAATTAGGATGCGCTCCCGTCCAGGATCTGCCGGTCACACCTGTCTGATGCGTGCACGTTGCCGAACCTGATCGGCGAGCGGGAAGTCCACAACTTGCCAACTTTTCCATGGCCTTACATTTTGGCCGGCGTTCATCGTCGCCAATATATTCTGATGATCGATGCCGTTGCTGGGAGAGAGCTAGCTAACTAACAAAAACAGCAGTCCTCAGTAGCCGCTGCCAGTTGACAGTAACCCTCACAGTATTGCACAGCCGCCGGGACGGGAATCTCCACAGGCCGTCTCCGCAGCAGTCGGTGGCCGCGCGGTTCCGGGGGTTTAGAGGCTGAAAACGCGGGATGGTTCGGAACGGGTGGGATGTCCCTCCTCCACATCCCCCGAGCGCCGCTATCGCTCGAGGTACTTAACTTTAGCTACCGCCGGCAGTCCCGGGAACGACTGCGCATATCCAATGATTCGTTTGAGTAGAACGGGCTGTTTGTTGACAGAGCCCAACCACCGCCTTAGTTTAGTGGCAGAGTTCACATTTCGAGAGGTGTAATGGTTTGCGTGTCCCTTTCTTGGCGTGCCGAGAGCTTGACGCTCCTTTGAGTAGGAAAGCCAATCGCGGCGCTGAAAGGGGTATCAGATGTTGTACGAAGGAGCTTGGGTGGAACAGCAGGTTGCGTTGCCAGCGGCTTGTGCCACGGAGCTTGTGACGGGTGTTTCCAAACAGATGACTAACTTAGTTGACGGCGAGGCAGTTTGGGAGCCGCAGGGAGCTGCCAAACTTTGCTAAGGGCGAGGTAGCTGTTGCTTGCTTGTATATAAGACCCAGTCGAACAGACACTTGGATGAGTTGATGATTGCAGACTCGGAAGGATGAAAGTCGCCTTCTCAGATGAGTTGTGTTGATGGTGACACGATCCGGCCTTTGGCCAGCCGAGCGAGCTGCTGCCCCTGGTGGTCATTGGCGGTGGCCAAGCTTCATCACGGTGAGTGGCACAAGATGGGACAAGGAGCTATCCGTATAGCTACACGGGGGTATTGAGATGACATCACGTCCTGAACCGATTCTCAGGTGGCAGGGCATCGTGGTGTTTGGTGCTTGGTGTTTGGACATTGGAGAGCGGGGCGGACCTGGCCAGGGTCGAAATCGAAATCGAAATCGAATAACTTTCCGGTTTGTCATTCCGTCAGGCACAGACGTGCCTTAGGTAAGCTGAAGGGTAAGTATCCGTACTTTGTATCGGTATTTGGTTATGTCAGCCGGGTTTTGGATCTCAACATGGGAATCCACCAAAGCCTGATCTCCAGGTTCCTCAGGTTCCTCAGGTTCCTGAGATGAGAATTGGCGCCTCAGGCCATAGGTTCAATCACAGGCAAGGCCATAGAGGTTGCAGCTTGGTGCTCTCCCCTGTGAGCTTTGTCAGCCACTCAGCTCCGCCAGCTCTGTTGGGTCCCCACAAAACCATCTCGACCCACCTCGCTGGGCAAGCAGTCACGTGAACGACAGCACAAACCTCTCACCTCTTTTGGTCTTGAATTGTGATTGATGGGACCTTCCATGAACATGAACGTTAGGTGAAGACTGTAGCCTGTAACATAGTTTAGATTAGCATAGACCATGTCGGCATAGCGCCCGGCACGTCCTTTTGTTACCAGACGTTAAATACATCATCATCATCATCACGATGGGACCTTCCATGTCATGCTTCCAGGCTGTCCACCAAACCGATCCGGGCTTCCAAGTTCCTGATGTGAGGTGAAGTGCACCCCGGGGGCGATTGGCGATTGGGTAGGGCCCCTGCCTCAGGTGCTCACCACCTGGCACTTTCCCCCTCCCTGTGATGTACCACTCCCATGTAAACCTGCCCACGAGTGACTTGGGCATGACATGCAATCCCACTCTCCCTTCAGTCCCTCCCTCCGCCCATGGCGGAACGAACAACGACACAACATCCGCAGGACAGGCCAAAGGTAGGTACCTACGTCCATCCTTTACTTTCATGATATCGGTAATGTCGCCTGGCTCACAGTGCTGTTTTATTTTCCTCATTTACCAGTTGATGAAGGGGGAAAAGAAAATCCAAGTAGCAGATACTTCAGTTCATTCAGCCATACATCGTTCCTTCTAACGAAATATCCAAGTCGTTCTTGCCCAACTTATTGTGAACCGGTCTTTCCAAGGTACCTTGAGATCCCAAGGTACCTTCCTTGGAACTTAGCGACCAACAAATCACACTGAGGTACTCATCATCGGCCCGCGCTCTGCTTGTCGCACACTCATCAGCCCCAATCAAGCCCACCACCACCAACACCACCAGCCTTGCGACTGCACTGCGATTCGTGTGCCTTTCAAGTTGAACTACCCACTATCACCCTGCAAAGTGGTGTTTCCAAGGGCAAAAAAGGAAGAATATCGATAGAAGAAAAAGGCGAAAAACAACAAAAATCATACCCTTTGCCATTTCGGCCTTCCGTGCTGCACCTCCACGGCGGACTGTTTGTTCCCTTGGCAAGACACAAGTGTGGCTGCCCCGGCGCCCCATCTCGAATAATATTCGCCTCCACCTGTGAGTCCTGCCTCATCACCACCACCCTCAGCCCGCCCAAAGCCCGCCCAGCGCGCTACATGCCGCCTGCCACTTTCGCGAGCCGCTACCCACAAACGCCCACCCAACTTCAACCACGCACAATCTCCCGCAACACCTCGAGCGTCATTGTCATTGCGAAGAGGGGCAGCTGTGTTTTTATTTTTGCTTACGCATCTTTTGACATAGCTTTACCTCCCCCAGTATCGCCTCATTCTCGAACCCGACCGACCGCCGAAATCGAGCTTGTCCTCACCTCTATCCCTCTCGCCGAGCCCGAATCCAGCGCTTACTCCCCCACCGCAACCACAACCGCAAACCCTCCATCCATCCCTCTCTATGACATCGACGTCGCTTGCTTCGTAGCAGAGACTCGATATGCCGGCCAACCATCGCCAGCCGGCAGCTCAGACGCCAGTGTCACCCAATACAAAGTCTACCGCGAGATACACAAACAAGGATGGCTCCAAGATCATCACCGTCCCGAAAGGCCCCCCCTCCGCCGAACCCTCGCAACCCTCAACTCCAACCTCGTCGGCAAGGGCGCCCAGCGTCCAGACCCTCGACACCAACGGTGTCGACCCGTCAGCGCCTACTGTGAATCGCAAGAAGCAGAAGCGTCGAGCAAAGGCTGCCGCTAAAGCTGCCGCCGAGCAAGCCGCCGTTCAACCACCAAATGGACGACGCCCGAGTCCTCCTCTAGGCGCGCCCGCGTCCGAATCTCAGGTTGCCCAAGATGACGAGGATCAGGAGTCTAGCGACGACGAACCCGAAGACCATCACTCTGCCGACGACCAACCCCATGCCAACGGCTTCTCCAAGACCAAATCCAAAAAGTCCAAAAAGAAGAAGAAGAAGAACGGAAAGAACCCGCAGCTGGCCAACAATCAGTACGACAGCGTTCCGTTTCCTCACTCTCACTCCCACTCGCCATTGACGCCCCGTGGCCCTGGTATCTCCAAGGATAAGATCTGGAACACCAGCTCGCAGGAGGAACGGGAACGCATCAAGGAGTTTTGGCTAGGTCTCGGCGAGGATGAGCGCAAGTCGCTGGTCAAGGTCGAAAAGGACGCCGTCCTGAAAAAGATGAAGGAGCAGCAAAAGCATACATGCAGCTGTACCGTTTGCGGCAGGAAGCGCACCGCCATTGAGGAGGAACTCGAAGGCCTATACGACGCTTACTATGAGGAGCTCGAGACCTTTGCGAACAACGGTGAAGGACCGCACATTCTGCCCCCTCACCGCGAATTCCCCTTGCGACCTTCACGCATTCCGTCATCCTATACAGGCCAACCACCGTCACGCGGCCGTATAGTGGAACACGTAGGCGACGATGACGACGAGGAGGAGCCAGAGGAGGAGTACAGCGACGAGGACGAGGATCTTGAGGAGGAGGAGGAGGAGGAGGAGGAGGAGGAAGACGAAGACGAAGAAGAAGAAGACGACGAGTACAGCGACGAAGACGAACCCCCTGAAGATACTCACCCTCACGATCGAGACGTTGCCGACTTCTTGACGTTTGGGAACAGCCTGCAAGTCAAGGGTATGCAGCTTCTGGACTCCCTACTCTGCAGATATGGTAACATGGACTTAGGCGGCATACTCACCGTTGCGGATGACCTCCTCAAAAACGACGGCAAGCGTTTCATCGAAATGATGGAGCAGCTCGCCGAGCGCCGCATGGCCCGAGAAGAGGACGCCAAGGAGCACTTTTCTCGCGGCTACGCTCATCCCGCCAACGGCTCTTACTCGAATCATAACCATCCTCCTCCCGAAGACGACTATGACGACGAAGACGAGGAGGAGGATGAGGACTATGATGACAGTCAAGAAGAGGAATACGAGGATGAAGAAGTGAGCTCCTCTCAATACACATATGACCATAAACACTCGAGTACTGAGCATTACTGTTGTCATCATCAGGACACGATGACCGAGGAACAGCGCATGGAAGAGGGTCGTCGCATGTTCCAAATATTCGCCGCTCGGATGTTTGAGCAAAGGGTCCTGACAGCCTACCGAGACATGGTTGCCAAGCAACGCCAGCAACAGCTCATCGAGGAACTCGAGGAGGAAAACCGGCAAAACGCTCAGAAAAAAGCCAAGAAGGCCAAGGAGAACCAGAAGCGCAAGGACAAGGCCGCGCTAAAGAAGCAGCAGCAGGCCGAGGAGAAGGCGCGAAAGGAGGCTGAGAAGGCCGCCGAGGAGGCCGCTCGACTCGAGGAGCAGCGGCGGAAGGTGGAAGAGCAGAGATCGAGAGCGGAGGAGAAACGTCGAAAGAAGGAAGAGCAGAAGCGACTCGAAGAAGAAGAACGCCTTCGCAAAGAGACCGATCGGCAACGTCGACTCCAGGAACAGCAAGAGAAGCGCGCGGAGCAAGAACGCAAAGCGCGGGAATTCCGCGAGACGACCCAGAGGCTTAAGGAAGAAGCACGATTACGCGAAAAGGAAACCCGAGACCAGAAGGACAAGGAGCTCCGTGAGCGTAAAGAGAAGCAGGAACAGGCCAAGCGCGACAAGGAGGCCAAGGCCAAGGCTGAGAAGGACAGCAAGGACCGCATCAAGCAGGAGGAAAAGGCTGCTCAAAAAGCTGCCACGGTTGCTGCTGCTCCTATTCCCATTCCCACCTCAGGCCGGCGACTATCGCAACACCCAGTACCGATTCCGACACATCCGTCCAACCCAGCATCCTATGCATCTCCTAAGATACCCGTTGCGACACCGGCTCTTCCCAAAGCCCCGACACCAATCCGTCCCAAGTATGCCTCTCAGCCCCTGGAAACCAGCTTGCCTGAATCACAAGCTTCGCGATCAGGCTCTACTGCCAGTCAAAACCCATCGCCACACCCTGCGACACCCGGCCACATGAGTCCTGGGCCGATCGGTTCAAGGAAGACCAGCGTGGCAACATCAAGCTCGCTACCCCATCCTAGTTCCATATCACCTTCGAACATGAAAGGCCCGATGCAGCCAGGCCCCTTTGGCATGCCTATGAGCATGCATCCACCCGGCTTCAATCCGCCGCCGGGCCTGGGAAATCGCATGCCCGACCCAAACATCTTTGGTCCTCCTGGTATTGCCGGGTTCGGTAGACCTCCCCCACCTCTTGGTATGATGGCCGGCCCGCCAGGTCTTAATGGGCCAGCTGGGCGTGGCTACATGCCTGGTCCACCTCCTGGCTTCTCACAGCCCATGGGCGACCACATGCAAAACATGGCACCAGGGCCCGGATCACACTCGAGACAGCCTTCCGGCAGCTTCGACCCAGCTTCGCCGCCAGTTCCAACGCAGCCTATCGGCAGGCCAGCGCCAATTGGACGACCAGGTAGTGTGGTACAGGGACATCGAAATGATCCATCAGACGACTTCACAAACCAACAGCATCTTGGTAGCAGCGTCCTGTTAGATGATGCGTCGGACCCGATGAGCGCAGCAATCAACGCGGCTAGGCACCGTAACCAGGTGCAGCGATCAGCATTTCCACTCTCATTCGACAATGGATTCACTGGCATCAACAATAACTTATGGGGACCCCCACCACCAATGTCATACGGTGTAGCCCCTGGAGTGGGAAACTCGACCTGGGGAAGCCCCAGTATGATGCCGCCTTCGCTTGGTCCAATCCGCACGGCTGGAAATCCTCGTTCGGTGACGATTCGACTCATGCTATGTCGCGCCTGCAAGGAACTGCAATCCCGCAGCCCCGAGGGCTCAGAGTCCTTTGTTGATCTAGCAGCGGTCAAGGCCGAAGTTGATCAGCTCAGTAGGACCGAGCCCATCCTTGAAGCAGATCTGCTGCTTCTCGCCGAAACGGAAGGCAATCTCACTAATGGCGGAGGCACCTTTGAGGTCCAACGGGACGCAAACGGTCCAGGGCAGCACTCGATGCGATGGGTACCCGAGTTCAACGACATGACGTATCCTGGTCATAGGCCCGTAGGTGCACCTGGCGAGATCGGAAGCCCCATTATCGGCAGCGGCGCACCGGCATTTCTGGCTAGAGGACACTAGGATGGTCCGCCTGGCGAAAATTCCAGTTCCGTTTCCTCATCTGAGAGCTTAACATCCTCGACTGATGCACTTCGCCGTCGCGTCATGTTCCGCGCCATGCAGAACGGCTGCATCAACAGGGCCACTAGAGGTAGTTCTAGCTAGGATTAGGAAAGGAAGGCTAGCAGGTCGCCTTGAGCCTTGAGTTGGCCTTGATTGTGTTCGTTCGTGGGGGTAACTGGGTCAGCGGAGGACGGGACTCTTCTTTTTCTCAAAACTCAGTATTCGAAACCCTTCTTTGGGGTTGCCCGGATAGCTAGCGCGTGGAGGGCGATTCCCTTCCAAGCGAGCATCCTCCGCATGGCTTTGTGTGCCTGCGTAGCGGCTAATAGAGACTATCTGCGTTCTTTCAGTATGCCCTTGTTCGTGGGTTCATAGTTGATTCACATGACTGTGCCGTTTGTGAATGCCATGACAACATTTCCGACTGATGAAAGGGAGCGAGATGTGCCTTGTCTATTGGAAGTGGCTCAGGGATCCATTCGACTTACAAGTGAGCCACTTTGTCATAAGTAAGCCAAAATTAAGCCAACATTGAACATAACCCAATCCTGAAGACATCCACTCCCCACATCCATCACGATGTGCGCTTTGTCGTAGTGTCCCACCCTACACCCACAGCGGGGGGGGGGGGGGGTTTCCTGAATTCCTTTCTCCTTCTCCCCACTTGGGCACAAGCACAAATTAGCAAACACAGAATATGAAGCCATCCTCGACTCGAGGAACTCTACAACCCCAGTATATACGCCGGTTGCCCGGCTAGCTCAATTGGTAGAGCGTGAGACTCTTAATCTCAAGGTTGTGGGTTCGACCCGTAAGCTACTTCCCTCACATCTCAGATGTTGTATAGAACACGTCACTAACAATTCCCAGCCACGTCGGGCTCAATTCCCGTCAGCAATTGACGCAACTTCTCTTTTTGATCATGTTCATTTTTGGCTCTAATTCCAAAGCTGTGATTTGTTTGAAAAGAAAACTCCTATTTCCAGCGCCATGAAGTTGAGCAGCCTCCCATCTTCACTAGGTGCCAGCCTAGAGCAAGGTCCCAAATGAAACGTGTCGAATACATATCAGGACGACAAGTAACTTGCCCGGAAGCATGACTTACATCAGTTCATCACTTGCCGGCGCTCTAGCCAAGATACTCCCATACTTTGAAAACTCACCACTCGTCGGAACGAAATCCTCCACCCTCAACCCAACCTTCTCCTGAAAAACGCAAATGACATCCGACCCTCCAAATCGGAAACACGATACCTCGTCCCCCTTCCTCACCGCATCCCCCTTTGCGACAAACAAGTCCACAGACGAAACCATGTCCATCCCAATAGGCAGAAACGCCACCTTGCCGAGCGCCGGGTTCTCCATCACGACCAACCCCCCTCGTCTGAAGGAACTGGTACCCCGGGTTCTCTGACGAATCCGCCCCGCCCATCATACGGACGTGTCCGCCGACGGAATCAGCCTCGAGGTGCGCCATGCCCTGGATATTCTTCGCCTCGAGCACGGTACCTGACACGGGCGCGTGTTGGCGGTGGTAGTTTGTGGTGTTGAGGAATGCGTGCATCCAGATTCCGCCGTCAAAGTCTGCGGCGTGCTCGCTGTCTTGGAGGAGCATGCTGATCGGCCAGCGGACTTTTTTGATCTCGACGGAGCCGTCGTTGATTCTGGCGAAGCTTTGGTTGGTGAGGGAGTTGTCGTAGGTGCAGTCGGCTGGGTAGACTATCACGCTGTCGTCGCCTGGGGAAGAGATTGGTCGCAGGCCGGGTTTGAGGCGCCGGGTGAAGAAGGCGTTGAAGGTGTGGAAGCCGCCCTTTGGGATATCTGCTTCGTGGAAGCGGTAGGGGGGTGAGTTTTTGAAGGATTTGAGTGATGAGGGGGTGATGGAGGCTGGTGTGTCTAGGAACTGGCCGACGAGCTGGGCGTAGACTACGATCCAGGAGGATAGCCAGGTGAGTGAGTCCCTGCGAATCTGGACTCATCGAGGTCTGGAGCTTGCGGAGTGTGGGTTGGTCGAGGACGAAGTAGAACATGCAGAGGATGTCGTAGATGTCTTTGCCTTCGAAGCTTTCGCGGGGGACCCAGTTGAGGAGGTCGTTTGCGAAGTGCAAGAAGGAAGGGGCGTCTTTGATGGATAGTTTTGACATGAAGGCTGGGTTTTTGGAGCTGGCGGAGAGGATTGCTGTGTCTAGGCCGCCTGGGCTTACTTGGTCGAGGTAGCCGATGAGCATGACGATGACGGGGTTGAAGCGGAGGTACCCATCATTAGAGGGTGGTGTTGCTTGCGTGACGGTTTGTGCAATGCCTGGGGCTTTAATATCGAGGTTAGGAACGGGAGAGAGGCCGGTGACTTCCTCGGGTGCGGTAGTTACGCTAAGTGACATGATTTGTGGTGAGAGTTGCTTTATGACTGACGATTTCCTCTTAAATGCGACTGGGAAGGTAAAATAACTAGTAGAACGTGTCAACATATTTCCTTATAATCAGACAGCAAGACCTCTCTGAGTTGATTTATATGAGCTTTTGTTTGCTTAGAAGCCAACTCATCTCAACACCGGTCCGCGGCAGCAGGGAAGCTACCCGCAATGCGGATGTCTTGCGAGAAACGTGGCGTTCGTGATGGTCCCCAAGAGAACTTATCTGAAGTCGTCAAGTCGGGTTCATGCACGGCTCCCCCAATCAAGTGTTCCCGCCCGGGTGCATTGCCGCGCCTGTACGACATAGCCGAGGGACGTTGTTGAGATGGAAAAGATTGGATGTTGCCGTCCTTGACGTGAACCGCGAGCTTCCTGCCGAACATGGACAGTCCTGCGGCCACATACGCACACACACATGGCTGAGGCGCAACAGGTTCGTGCTGGGGCGCGGTTCATTCGTACGGGGTTCTGCCACTGCTGTGCCAGCGAGGCAACTTTGGCCGGTCTTTGAACGAGTGATGTATGAAAACAAACCTGTTTTTGTTGTGAAAGAACTGCCTCGAAAAGCGAGGAGTCAGCGGCGTTGTTAGAGGCTGAAGCTTGTAAGTGTTCTCTTGGCCCAATACAAGAGCAGTCCCGCCGAGGTCACACTAATGACCATCAGTTATGGAAAGACTCGGAGACCTTTGAAGCCCGACGCGAGCAAGTAAGAGTTAGGAGCGTTCAATCGGGATGTCTGTCTCGAGGAAACGAGTACGGAATCTTCGATTTTGTTGCTGTGTCTCGACAATTTTGTCAATTCCCCACTTGATAGTTGTCTTGTTTCCTGTCCCTGGAGCTGACGACGTGATTATTGTGCTGAGGAGATGCAAACTAAGCCGCCCTTCAGCGCACATAGCTGAGTTTCCCTCGTCCTCGAGACTTGATGATTTCTTTTATACTAATGGTGATGCTCGGTGTTTACTTATTTCTTGTGGAAGGAGCGTTGCTGTTCCATGCACTTCTCGGAATTTGCTGAAAATGGTTTAGCGTAGTGCTGGTTGGAAACCTCACTTCCTAAAGCGGAAACTGGCCGATGAGACGAAATCCTGCGCTACCCTCTCGACATGTCTTTTGCGTCCGTGAAAGCTACAACGCGAAAACCTTGCCGGGCGACTAACAGAAGGCATAGAATGACCTGCGATTTCCGAAGCCAAGTTTGCACTGCTAGATTGCCAGAAAGTACGCCAAGCGTAAGCAAAAGTTCCAAGGGACGCAATGCTTGATCGAGTCATTTCAGTCCAAGAATGCTTGCACCTTCTTCAAGCGGGATTTGTAAAACCATCCGTCGCAAGTGCTGCAGCTTTCTCAGTTATTCTTGTAAGAGCTATTATGTTTAACTCGCCCAAAGCTTCACTGGCACCCTTGGCTAAAGTAGTTAGGCCGTCCTGTGTCTCCTTACAACCTGCATTTACAATGCGTATTTCCACAAGCTTGCCGCTTTCCCAGGACCGCTGTTAGGAGGATGCAGTCTGGTGAGTAAATCTATGCCCTGCATGTATTGACTTACAATGCTCAAGTTTTTTTTCCCACAGATCTGGCGAATCTATCATTCTCAGACTGGCCGTTTTCACTACGCTATTCAAGAGCAGCATCGCAAACATGGTATGAGTTTCGTTTCTTTCCTAGACATGGCCACAATTCAGTAGACTGATTCTCGCCGATAGGGCCTGTTGTCCGAGTTTCTCCCAATGAGCTCTCCTTCGCCACGGTCGAATCATGGAAAGCAATCTACGGCCACCGTGTCGCTGGCGCACCACCAGTGATTAAAAGCGAATTGTACGATATTTACGGTGCTGGCTTCAAATCTCTATGCATCGGAAGTGAACGTGACCCTCATAAGCACGGTCAAATGCGCAAAATGCTCTCGGCCGCCTTTTCCACGAAGATGTTGCTGGATCAAGAAGACATTATTACCAAGACAGTCGACGCTTTCGTCCATCGCCTCGGAGAAGATGGATTCAAATCGGAGGGTCTTAATATGACCAAGTGGTTTGAGATGATAGCATTTGACTCGTTGGGCGAGATGGCGTTTGGCGAGTCCTTTCACAGTGTTAAAGCTGGTAAGTTCAGTATCAATAAACATGAGACTTCAAGAACAGCGTTCTGGCTAGGAGATGGCTTGACGGGTAATTCGAATACTGACCACGTCGATTGACAGGCAAGCCACATAACTGGTCAGAAATCATAGTCAGCCATCTCTACTTCATCACCCTAGTCGACAATCTTCGCCGCCTCCCTTTTGTGGCTAGGTTGATCCGTGTTCTGTTCCCATCTACTTTGGCTGTCCAAAACCAGAACTCGCAGTATAGCCGTAAAAAGGTTGAAGAGTAAGTATTCAACTAATCCTTCGTCAAATTCTTGATATAGTCTGATAGTATGGTGGCAGACGTCTATCCAAAAAGTCAAACCGCAACGACTTTTTGTCCACCGTCGTGAAGAGCTATGAAGTAGGGGCTGTTGATAAAGAGGAAATGGCAGCCCATGTGTCAACGTTGACGTGAGTGTTTCGAATCAGACATTGCTGGTAGTTTCTTGATGAGTTTCTGACATAACGATTACTTGTAAAATCGCCGGAGGCGAAACTACTGCCACATTTCTCGCCGCGGCGACGTATTACTTGCTACGGAACCCAGTGTGCCTATTGAAGCTCCAAGCCGAAATCAAAAACAGATTCTCTTCCGTCGAGGAGATCAATGCCACTGCAGCTCGGCAACTCCCCTATTTGCAAGCAGTCATCAACGAGGGCCTTAGGCTGTACGCACCGGGCTCTCAGGGGTTCCCAAGATTGTCGCCAGGCATGAAGGTTGGCGATGTTATGTTCCTGCTGGTGTAAGTGACCTTGAAGGACAACAAAAAAGCAAGATTTCTGATGAAAGTGTCTACAGGCCGAAGTCTTTACGCATGCGTGGACCCTGACGCATAGCGAACAGTACTTCTCTGACCCGAAAAGCTTCAAGCCCGAGCGCTGGCTGGATGCGGATTCCACCGACGTGCGAGAGGCTAGTCAGCCATTCTCAATGGGCCCCAGAGGTTTCTTGGGACAAAAGTGAGTTTTGTTGTCCTCTAACCGATGAGTCTACTGTTCTAGCTACTACATGCTGATAAAACTCCCAAGCTTCGCGTACATGGAGATCAACCTCATTTTAGCCAAGATGCTATGGAAGTACAACTTGGACCTGGTCAATAAAGAAGTTGATTGGGAACAAGAAAGCCAGCTGCATGTGATGTGGTGGAAACCCGCACTTATGGTCCGGTTTACTGAGAGGAAAGCTTGATAGAAGTTGAGAAGCCAGGCGCTTTCACAACCAATGCACAAGAGCCTTCGGAAGCTATGAAATTAAGGCATGGGGTTTCAGAGCGAATGTAAAACACGATCAACTTTCGTATTCCAGACGCTTTAAGCTTCCATTTTACTTCGTGACACTATTAAATTGAACATCTTCGCAGAATTACAGTGTTACAATGTTCGCTTAGCAAAGCGGAGATAAAGTCAAAGACATTTGTCTTGGGCTAAGGTACTGTAGCAATAGCTCTAGAAGACCTTGAAATATCATGAATGCGATGAAACAATATCAAGATGCGGAAGGCTTCCTTTAAATACTAATTTCTAGCTGCCAACTTGCTATCAACCCACACGCGGCTTGAGCTTCGCCATCAAACGAGGCTTCTCCCACAAGGTATGCATTCTTGACTCTCAGTGCCAGTCGAGGCTCTCATCTGCGAGTTTCAAGTCATACTGATAAATCAGTTTGGCCATGACAGTGTGAAGTTCCATCCAACCGAGGCTACCAGGTTGCATAATTAGTACGTGCCTCAAAGGCTCGACCCTCATTCTTGGTAGACTCGCCTTCGTCTCATGCATGATCGCGTGCCATACGAGAAGGGCTGACTTGCATCGAGATCGTCGACTGGGTTGTCCCCAAGCCACCGTTCGGGTCTGAACTCCCCCGGCTCTGAAAAGTTAGAAGACGACATACTTGCCGCAAAGGTGCTGGTAGACACGGTAATCTGAAGACGTATCCATTTCAGTAAAGGAGTTTTAATGAGGTTTAAGGGAATAATGAGCAACGAAGGGGACGTACTCCACCGGGCAGAAAGTGTCCATCAACCGTGCAGCCAACCTTGGGCACCACGCGAGGGAGGGCGAAAGGAAGTGGAGGATAGACACGCATAGCCTCTTGCGCCACGGCTCTGAGATACTTTTCTGAGATACTTTAATGGGGTTGCAGTTGCTGCCGTGATAACGTACTTGCATAGCGAGCGACGCATCATAGCGAGCGACGCACTCTCTTAGACCTTTCCACCTTTTATATAAGTTAATTTAGCCATAACGTGAAAAATCAATTAAAACTATATATCACCCTCTTCCCTATTACTATCCTAAACTACTTCACAGGTTTATACGTTATTTCCAGGCTTTCCGTAATTCCTATATCGTCGTGTACGTGGTTTAGTACCTTCCGTACGACCCTCCTTCTGAGTGTTATTCTCTCCTCCAGCATTAACACCACCCTTTTCTACTTATAGTGCCTCTACTTTAGTAGTGTTAAGTGTCCCTCTAAGACGTAGTCGGGTCTTTTTTACCCTCCGGTGCTTACTTAGTACCTCTATCCCCGTACGAAGCTTACGGTTCTTAATCTTAATAATAATAAGCTTATAGGCTAACTTACTAATACCTCTAGCCTAGAAGTTAATTACTTCGTATATTAGAATTAGTTGTTACGGCCAGCTAGTCGTAGGGGTAGTTTGCAGAAGTTGAGGCTGCGGAACTGGTAACAGTAATCGTAGTCGGGGATAGCTTCAGGGAAGCTATGTCTGTCAATCGTAAGGGTAGGTAAGGCTTCGGTGATCAATCGTAGTCTTGTCAAGGTAGTAGCTGAAAGCGGATGTTAATCCTGATACGAAGTTAATTGCTGAAGAAGCTATGGAAAGTCTGTCCTAGAGCCCAGCTCGAGTCCATCCTTATATTCAAGTCCGATCCTAACTGAACAGTGCTGAACAGTCCACTTTGTCTGGATATGTTGGATATGCCGAATATCCAACATATCCTTGACTCGGTTGGATATGTCGAATATCCAACATATCCTTGACTCGGTTGGATATGTCGCATATCCAACATATCCTTATCCCTTATCATATCTCTTATCATCACGTGACTTGTACCATAGTTCTTCCGTTCCTGGGGTTTCCCCAATGTTCCGTCCCGTCCTGCATATATGATGCGCCGTAGCCGCTAGGCGTCAGCGGGGCACGCCCTGGTCTTCATGTTGGGTCGTAACATTAGTGACCTACCTTGATATGCTTAGATCTTCTTTTTAAGGGAGGTAGTACTTTATACGCCCTCTAGTATTATAATTAGTATCTTTAGGTCCTAGGAGCCTCGGCTGCTTGGCCGTAAGTTTAATATTATTAGCGTTTTTAGCTTAAAATCCAAGTAAGAAATGACCACTTTAGGGCTAAAAGGTATAAGGCCTGCCTACTTAAAACCAGCTTATACGTTATTTTTACTTATTAAAGTAAAGAAAGCTGTTTTAAAGGTAGGAAAGAAGTTATCCTTTATCCCGTCGGGTGCGGAATAGCTCCATTTTTGCCAAGGGCGGGGTAGAGCCAATAAGGGCTTCTATATTAATCAAGCTAACCAATAGAGTAAAAGTACCTCTATTACCTATAGATTTTGGGTATACCACAAGTACCAGCAGTCTCCCTCAATACAAAGAGCTACATTACAGTCTAAGCAGCCCTTCCGCGTCCTTTTTGTTACGACCCAACATGAAGACCAGGGCGTGCCCCGCTGACGCCTAGCGGCTACGGCGCATCATATATGCAGGACGGGACGGAACATTGGGGAAACCCCAGGAACGGAAGAACTATGGTACAAGTCACGTGATGATAAGAGATATGATAAGGGATAAGGATATGTTGGATATGCGACTGTTGGTTTGCGTGTACCACAGGTTAGTCACACAGGTATTCCTGGTATCGCGATCGGTAGCAATATCGTTGGGTTAATCTGGTGTTCTGTTGTTGTTATTAAGGAGAGTATCTAAACGCGAAGGCTCGTGATATGGAAGGAGGGAGCTGAGGTGTGTCACGTGCCGAAGACACGTGACATAGCTCGGCTCCGTGTATACCTAGCGATTGCCGTTTGTTCCCACACTGGCAATCTTTTCTTTTGTGGAAGAAAAGGGTCTGTAGATATCTAGGCGACAATAAGACGTATTGATCGCGCACATGCGGTTCCTCCCAACCCCCATATCTCTAGCGCGTTCACTATGCTCTCTATCTTCCAGATACCCTCACCTTGCCTAGGTGCGTGTCACCCATCCCTCCATTTTGATCGTAATGGTATTTGTGGAAATAAGTCTCTCCAGGGCTTTGTTTGGCGACGCCTTGGTAAGTCCGTCTGCTGGATTATCACTGCCACGTATCCATCGTATCTCTGTAAGTTCTCGTCGCTCGTACGATTGCCGAAGCGCCATGATATCGACCATCAACCGCTTCTCCTGGGTGGTTCCGAGCTTGACAAGGCACTCGTATAGTGAGTATGAGTCGGTACATGCCACCGTGTGTATCTTTGGGTGGCCCAGTTTGTCCATGATCATCGCCAGTGTCGACGAGAGCGCGTATGCCATATCCACGCCCGCGACCATGCCGTAAACCTCGGAGGCAAGCACGCTGCGAGTCACACGCTTTGATTTGGTTGACGAGAAGTGGATAATGTTGGCGTCCAACGTAAAGTGGTCGTTGTCCAGGTCAGGGGTAGAGGTCTCGTTGCCTAATACAATAAGGAAGCCGAGTTGCGAAGTGAGGTCTTGGTTGTTGGCAAATGATCCATCAACAAAGACGAAGAGCTTGGACGTTGAGAGATCCAATGGGATAAAGGTGAGACCACGGTCAAGCGAATTCATCTGCCATTGTAGGCGCCGATTGAGATTCTCGATATCACCCTCGGTTGGGTCTTTGTGTTGAGCGGCTGCTGACATATCATAGCAGGCCTCTGGTTGGCAGATGGAGGCAATGTATGCTCCTCGAGCACGTTGTTGGACGTAGTCTTGCTGGGCCGTCGGCGACTTGCTGTCTATAAGTTGCAGCTTGCTGCCTTGTCCCTTTTGTCGAAGAACGAGGGATGTGCCTGTCATTGTGATGATGCCGCCATTAAAGATGAGGGGGTTATCATGAGTCAAGTGCTGCTTTGGTTTGACAGTGAACTCTGCCTCCTGCAGCTCAGTATCCTCTCTAATGGAAAAGGGTTGAGTTGTGAGACCAATTGTGTCGTCAGTTTGCATTCCAATGAGAGCAAAGTCTGGATTAGTTGGCGATGAAAGGAGAAGACAAGGGTCGTATGTGGACGTATCCATCTGGAGAGCTTCTCTGTGGTGATGATGGTAGGTGGACCACCAATGGGTTCCTGCCTCTGCAATTCCATACAGGGGCTTTACAACCCTCATGATGGTGCCATTGGGGTATTGGTGGCGAATTTGCTGCGGCAAGTGCGCGTATATAGCGCGGTTAAGAGGTGAAGTCGATTGTACGTAGGCCTGAGTGATATCGCGGAGCCAGAGTACGTGGCGGTCGTTATGGAGCAAAGACGGCGCCAATGCGAGAATGAGACGCTGGCTAGCGCGTTGAATAGTGGGCGACTGTGTAAGTATCGTCAACTTTTCGTCGTCAGCGTAGCCCTGGACTACAAGTCGGGACTTCTCATAGGGCTGATCGGTGCCCTTGCCCTTAACTTCGTTGACCAGGCGCGATTTGAATATTCGGCTGGTATGTGCGATGGAATTGCGAGGTATGAATTCGAATACGCCGCGGCTGACCAGAGATTCGATCTCGGCTTTTGCCGAAGCTTCGAATGGCTCGCCGGGCGTAGTCAGCACGCCTTCCCTGCGTAGTTTGATCGCAAGGTCAAGGTCAGACTTCTCTTTAGCGGAGATAAAAGCAGTATCAGGGTCTTCATCGATATGGGCGTCGGTTTCTTGTAGAAAGGTACGTTCAGCAGATACGTAGTGCTTATAGGGGCGGCCGCGTTTACGCGGTAGCGGTAACGTAGTAGCTAGGAGTGACTTCCGTGGACCAATAGCTACGACGATGGTATCTTCTGTATGGTCTTCAGCGTCAGTGACATCGTCAGAGGGCTCTTCTCCAGGGGACGTATCGACGGGGGATTCGCCAGAGGGGTGGGGGGGACCAGTGGTGAGCTCAGCGACGGCGCCGGCGTCAGGTTCTGGCCCGTCGGTGACCTCCTCGTGATGGTATGGTTTAACCACTGTAGACCGGAAGGTCCGAGGTCCGTTGACATCAACCGTGAGGTCTTCGCCGTTGACAGTGAGCAGTGTGTGTTTCGGTTCTTTGGGAAGCTCGTGAGTCGGTAGGAAGCCGGTAATGGGCGGAAGGTCGTTCTGAAAGCCGGTTCGGCCTTGCTGGAAGCGAGGCTGTTGTGATGAAGATGGACGAGGTATCGTTTGGTGAAGCAGTGATTGACGGGGAGAAAGATGAGGTGACGAACAGCGGCTCTTGCTCTTTTCTGTAAGCTCTCTGATACGGTCGTTCCTGGCAAGTTGCTTCTGGACCATCTGTTGGAGTTGTAAATCCAGTTCAGGGTCGAATTCCGGCTCCTTCTTGATATGTTGTCTTTGCTGCTCTTCGCGCATCTGGCGGCGTTGTTCAGGAGTGATATATCCTCGCTGGATATCTTTGAGGAACTCGTCATTGTTGTCAACTAGCTTGTCGAAGTATGAGGACTTGGCTCTCAGGCTCTCGACTTCATCGTCGGTCCAGGGATGGAAGTGTTCTTCTTCCAGGATCCCCACGAGGTTGGGAGCAATCTTCTGGTCCCTGTGTCCCTTGCTGATGTAGACGCCGTGATGGAGAAGGTGATCGCGGAGGATTCCCAGAGGTCTGGTATCAACGGCGTTGAAGAGGGCTTCGTCCCAGTCCGCGAAGTCCTTCTGGAACGCCTCCCAGAGCTCATGGCCCAAGAGGCCATCGTGGAGCCAAGTGGCGATCTTGTAGGCCATGTAGGAGCATATTGTTTTGCTGTCGCGCTCGTCAAGGAGGAGGGAGTTTTTATGGTCGTAGATGCCCCAGTTGGCGTCATCGATGAAGCGGTAGAATCCATCGGGGACTGGAAGAACATCTGGTGATGACGATAATGGTGGTCGTTGCGCCATCTTGGTTGCTTATACTTTAGCGATAGTAATGT